CCAACTTACGTGGCTGCCAGCTTCTCTCCATATTCCCTCCTCCCAGCTCAGCAACCCCATTTGTCTGCCCTCATGTACCTGGTTGCTCCTTCCTTTTGCTCTTCTTTCTGATTCTACATTCTCTAATACCTGTGCTTTGAAACATGAGCCCTCAAACCCCATAAGTAGAAGAAGAAAATAAAGTTCATAATCAGAAGGCAGCTGAGAGGGCTTAAAGTTTGTTGTCTTAAAGGCTGAGGTCCCTGAGCTGTGATAAACCACTTGTTCACATTGTTCTGCACAGCTCCAGAACTCAAGCAGTTGATCTAGGCATCCTCTCCATGCAAACAAAATGGAGAAAATGTTTTGTGCTTTCGCTTCGGTCCTTCTAGACTCCACCCTCTTTCTATAAGTCATTAGATTCTAATTTAATTTTGGTCATGCAAGAGCTTGAACCATTTTTGACTGTCAGAACTGAGGAGGTGGGTATTGGCATCTAGTGGGTAGAGGCTTGGGATACTGTTAAACATCCTACAATGTGCAGGACAGTCTACACATCAGAGAATAATTCAGCCCAAAGTGTTAATAGTGCCAAGGTGGAAAAACCCTGAATTACACTATGTTTCAAAGATAAAGGAAGGTTACAACATTCTGAATTCTCTGAAATTATCACTAATATGCCTAATGATTTGGCTGACTCTAATGTTTGAGCTTTTTATGCACCTTCACCTTAATGTTCAAAGTTGTTGCCCACTAAATATACTTCTAACCATTATTGTTAGCCTTGCTGGCCAATAGGACTTGCAGACCAGTCCTCAGTGGGCATATTTAAAGGCTTGGCTGGGAGTGCTTGCCAAAATTTGTGGAGGTGGCTGTGCTGAGAGTGAGGATATTGGCAAGAAAAAAAGTAGAAATAAACTTCTTTAATGAACTGGAATTTCACTAGGCTTGTGATTCCTTAAAAATGTTATTGAATAGAGAAGGCAAATGAGTAAATCTGGATAGAAAGTATGCTAGCTCTGTTTAAATGTCTTCCTCCTCTACTCCCTCTCTTCTTTCACAGTCAGGAGCTATAGGAAATAAAAGAAGGAAGACAGGAAGGAGTCTGGAAATAAGCAGGTTGTCTGTCTGCACGAGAGATGTACTTGAAATCCCAGAGACAGTGTTACTTAAATGAAGAGATAGAAAGGCAAGCATGTTATCCAACAGGCTCTGTCTTCCTTTTCTTCCCTTTGCCCTTTTCCTAAGTCATACATTTGTTAGGACATGACAAACTGATTGTTATTGTTATGATGGAGAGAGGTGGGCTAAACTCTAGGGGAGGGGGGAGGGGAGTGAATGGGGCCAAAATCTCTTGTACGGAACTCTCCTCCCACAAATAAATAAATAAATAAAAAGTTGGACTCCTCTGACTTTTGTGTTAATGGATCTCCCTTTCAGCCATTTAACCCAAAAGAGAAATTTCAGAATCTGCAATGAGATCTGGGCATGTGGACCTTCTTGAGCTATAATACATGCAGGCAGAGTCCTGGCTTTGACTGTTAAGAGATCACCACAGTTAGTTCTGAGCCTGCACAGACGATCTGAAGCATAGAAATGAGTTCATCAGAAGAATAGGAATAAAAGAAATGTCCCAGATGAATGTTGAAGAAAAAAAAAATGGGCATGCAATCTGTCATGTATCAACAAGCAAAGATCCTTAGTGGTGCAGTGGTTAATCAGTTAGCTGCTAACTGAAAGGTTGGTAGTTCAAATCTACCAGCTGCTCTGCAGGAGAAAGATGTGGCAGTTTGCTTCTATAAAGATTACAGTCTTGGAAACCACATGAGGTGGTTTTACTCTGTCCTATAGGGTCTCTGTGAGTTGAAGTTGACTTCATGGCAATGGGTTTAGTTTTGATTTTTGGACCAACAAAGAGCTATCCCTGGTGAAAATGGTTAACAGGATTGGCTGCTAACTGAAAGGTTGGAGGTTCAAGTCTACCCATAAGCACCTCAGAACAAGGGCCTGGAGATCTACTTCTGAAAAATCAGCAACTGAAAACTCTATGGAGCACAGCTCTAGTCCTACACACATGGGGTCGGCAGGAGTTAAGAGTTGACTGGACAGCAACTTGCTTGTACCAATTGCAGCAGTTAAGGTTATGTGTCAACTTGGCTGCTCCATGACTTTTAATGGCTTGCTAGCTGGTTGTAGTTATTCTCCACGATGAGATTGGTCATTGTGTAATCACCTCCACGGTGGAATCTCCTATGAGCAGTTAATCAATTGAAGGAGAATTGCCTTCAGTGTGTGGCCTGCTTCCAGTATATATACAAAGGATCTTGCATTTGGCTTAGGCTTCATCATCAGTTCTTGGTTTTGGCCTGCTGTGTTGCCTTCTGACCTTGGGATTGTGCCACTTGACCTACCAAACTTGAGTTCATCAGCCTCAGCAGCCAGCAGCTGTGTGAGTTAGAAGAAGCCTCTAGCTCCAGTGGGCCTAGAACAACAGGCAGAACTGAAGACCAAGGTCAAAAGGGCTTCACCCAGCCCCTATACTAAAACCAAACTCACTGCCGTCGAGTCAGATCTGACTTATAGTGACCCCTCCTTGGGTTTCCGAGGCAGTATCATTACGGAAGTAGATTGCCCAACCTTCCTTCCGAGGGGTGGCTGGTGGGTTTGAACCGCCAGCCTTCTGGTGAGCAGTCAAATCTGAATTCAGACTTCTAGTACTCTAAAATGTAAAAGAATAAATTCCTGATTGTTAAAGCAATCCACTTGTCGTATTCCTGTTATAGCACTAGAGAACTAAGATACCAACTAATGAATGGACTGTTTCTAACTACCAAAAAACCAAAAGACCCGCTGCCATTGAGTTGATTCTGACTCATAGTGACCCTGTTGTTGTTGTTATTATATGCCATCAAGTCGGACCCGACTCATAGCGACCTCTCCTTGGGTTTCTGAGACAGTATCACTGTGGAAGTAGATTGCCCAACCTTCCTTCCGAGGACTGGCTGGTGGGTTTGAACTGCCAGCCTTCTTGTTAGCAGTTAAATGCTTTAGGCACTATGCTATCAGAGCTCCTCATAGTGACCCTTTAGGGCAGAGTAGAGTTCCATAGGGTTTCCAAGGCTATAAATCTTTACAGAAGCAGACTACCTCATCTTTCTGCGGAAGAGAGGCTGGTAGGTTGAAACTACCAACCTTTTGGTTAGCATCCAAATGCTTTAACCACTGCACCAACAGCAGTGGTGTCTGACTACTTAAAGTAATAATGACACAAGAACAGTAGAGGAAAATCGTAGTTCACTGACTGTTGGATAGGACCTTAAATTATTCACAGTTCATCATGCTGCCTCAAGAGGAGAAAAGATCCCTCTGGTTTCAACGCAGAGGATGGTCTTGAAATTCCCATGCAGACTAGCTACACTTTGCTGTCTGTAAGCAGGCAGGTAGTGGAGGACAAGGCCAGGCTGTCCAGGTGACTTGAAATTGGGAGGGAGGAGGGAAAGTGAAGGTGATAAGAAAGGAAAACTCCTGTAGTAAGGGGCAAGAAGGATGGTGTCTGGTCTCCGCCCCTTCCTCTCTACAGAAGACAATGCAAGGACATACCACGTGGGTAATTCCTTCATGTGGGGTTCTGAGATCTCATGTTGCTTAGAAGACATGGTGTGCAAGGAGAGAGATGACACAGATGTGGACACACAAGCTGCTTCCAAAAATGCCAGCCTTCCTCAGAACCTCACTGCTGCTTTCTCAGCCCACAGGAATTCACTAATTTATTGAACAAATAATGATTGCACCGGAGTTTGTGCCAGCCACGGTAGCTGTGAATAAGACAAACAAGGTCTTCTTAGGAGGATACTGTCTAGTGCGAGGCAGATAAGACATAAACCAATATGATAGCTTTCTGTTGTGTTAAGGGCTATGAAGAAAATAATACAGGGTAATATGATAATCACTGCAGGGTCTACTTTAGATTGAGCGGTCATTAAAAGCCTCTTTGCCAAGGTGACATTTGGTTGAGACTTCAAGGATAAGAAGAGCCAGCCTGCAAGAACTAGGGTAGAGTCTGTGTGGAGGGAGCAGCAGAATGGAATGATGGAGGAGAAGCTACTGGGATGGGATCAGCAGTGGGTGTGCGCAGGGCTGGCTGCAGGAGATGGTGCATCCATGCATTTCTTAAGCAACTACTGTATTGCAGAGCACTGGTGGGCATTACTGAGGATATGAAAAATAAAACAGATATCTCTAGCTTAAGGATCCTTCCTCATGAAGGAATTTAAGAGTTTAGGAATACCCCAAACAATTCTGCTACAAGGTAGAAAGAACAGAACCACGATACAGACATCACTATGTTGCTCACAAAGGGAAGGGGGCTTTCCAGAAGCGACTTTTTCAATGCACCCATGCATCTACTAGAGCCAGTGTATGATCTCATGAAGGAGACATATGGGAGTGTGAAGCCACGGTCTCACATCAGAGACCGGGCAGTGAGGTCAGGTCGCCCAGGGGCTTAGTCACTGAGCCCGACTTCTCACCAGTGAACCTTCCCGGTCTTAGTGGGTGGGGCAGGGCCGCCGGAATCTCCCGGCCTAAATCTGTCCCACTTAGAAATCCCGCACAGGTGGCCGCAGAAGCCCCGGCCGGCTCAGCACCTGGAGTCGCCGGGCGCCGCGGCCGGCGGGGACTGCTGGGAAAAAGTTGCCGCCCAGAAAGGCGCCGCGCAGGCTCCAGGGCTAGTCCGCGGTTCTGGGCCAGGGAGCGGACTCCACGGCCTACGGAGACTATGGTTGGAGATAGGGACAGCGGGCTCGACTACAAGTCCCAGGAGCCGCCGGGACGCGGGCGCGTTTCCGGGCCGGCGCGGCGCCTCCACCCGAGGCGCCCGTGGGGAGGGAAGTACGGGCGGCTTGCGGAGCGCCCTGCCCGGCAGCCGGCCGCCGGGGCGGTGTAGTTGTTGTTAACACTGTTGGCAGGCAGTCCCCGCCCGCTGTCGCTGGCAGTCTGCGCACCTCGCGTCCAGGCGCACCATGGGGAATGGAATGAACAAGGTACCGTGCCTCTTCCTCAGTTTGGGCCGGCCTGGGGCCCCCGCGACCTTGAGCGTGGGGTGCAGGAGAGGGGCCGGGCGTGTCCCGGCTGGAGGAGGCTGGGTTGGGTTTTTGAGGGGCTGTCCGCACCCGCGCGCTTCCGGGAAGGCGTTTCGCGCTAAGGACCAGCTGAGCCAGCCGTGCCCTTTACAAGCTGGTGACACGATTCTCCTCCGAGACTTCAGCTGAGCTCCAAATGCATGTGGTTTCTTCTTTTTCTCCTTCCCCACCCCACCCCAACTCAGCTCTTGAAGCATTACCACCCACATCGCTGGGAAACGGCGTAGATGGGGTCTTCTGTTCAGAATTTTCCTCTTTCTTCGAAGATGTTTTTGTTTTTGTTTTTTCGTGTACAATCAGAAGTTTTTCTTTTCTGCATTTTTGGACAGGGTCCTACTTCCTGAGGCTTTTTAATTACCTGGGTATGAGAGAACGAATTCAAAATCGATTTGTTGTCAATTGTCAGGCTTCTGGTGCAAGGCTTCTGGCTGCTCATAATGATTCCAAAAACCAAACCCATTGTCATCCAGTTGATTCCGACTCATAGCGACCCCTATTGGGCACCCAAGGCAGTAAATCTTTACGGAAGTAGATTGTCCCATCGGCCTCCCCTTAGTGGCAGGTGGGTTTGAACCACCAACCTTCTGGTGAGCGGTCAAATGCCTCAGGCACCGTGCCACCAGAGTAGAAAATCTCAGTTGCTGTCTTCTGTTTGTCCCTGTTGTGCCCCACCCTCTGCTGACCAGTGTCCCCACACCCCGCCCGCCCTCCTAGACTGTGGGCTAGCCTGTGTGCTTCTTGTCACCTGAAGGTGCCAGTCCCGGATCTTGAGAGCCACTTGGGACACATTTAAGCCAACTACAAGGTCAGGAACTTGTTACTTGGTACATGCTGGGTTAAAGGAAAGATTAGCAAGACTTTAAAAATCCCTCAACAAAGACAAGTGCTTCTTTGGAGATCTTTGAAAGGGCCTTGCCTATGGGTCTGGCCTTCTACATCTCACGCCCATGTTGTATACCATCTATCACACCTCCACATAAACCCAGTTGTCCTATCTGGGGTATGACAGTGTGGCTTTCTTCCCTTTTCTGATTTGTCTCAGCCCTGGGGTGACAGGTTTGTCCTTTTAGCTGGAGTGCTGGAAGGAGGAGACAGGTAGGGCAAGGGAGCAAGCAAGGGGGTGAATTCCACGAAGTCTACTTTACTCTTCATCTGCCCAAGTCATATGTATTATGCCCTGAAGACAGCTCAGTTTATGAAGGAGCTGTTGTGCCTGTCACTTCACTGAGGTTTTTGGTAAATGGGATTTTATCCACTTTTTTTTTTTTTTTTTTTTTTTAATTTGGCCAGTGCTTAAGTTTAGAATGAGCAGTTTCCTCTGGATAAATGCTTGCATTATGCCCCATTTGTGCTGGAATCCATCAGGACCATGTGCCTTCTGCTTTTAAAATTTAAAGCAGTAATGGTGTTCACTACAACTTTATGGGCTCAGCATACCTCCTGCTCATTGTGCTCATACCTCTGGTTTCCTTTGGTGCTTTCTACCGTTATCCCCACTTGAATTGTCCACTCTTTCAGCATTTCCAGAAGCGACTGATCAATGCACCCATGCATCTATTATACAGTATTTGTATATTATAATTCAAAGAATATATTTAGGATTACAATCCCATGCCTAAAGGATCAAAGTTATTTTCAGGCTTTTCAGCAGAAGCAGTAACATTTATATCATGCTTTTTACTTTCCAAAGCAAGTAGTAAATGAAAACTTTATTCATTATTTTGTTATTAAAGCCATCTTCTATTATAAATAGTGCAGTTATCTCCAGTGTAGAGACAGAGAAGCATGCATAAAGAGAGATCTAGAGACTTCATTGAGAGCTCTGATGGCGTAGTGCCTAAGGCATTTGACTGCTAACTAGAAGGCTGGCAGTTCAAACCCACCAGCCACTCCTCGGAAGGAAGGTGGGGCAATCTACTTCCGTAGTGATACTGCCTCAGAAACCCAAGGAGGGGTCGCTATGAGTCTGGTCCAACTCGACGGCACATAACAACAACAACAACAGAGACTTCATTGATTCAACAGATGTTGATTGTGTACTTGCTGTGAGCTAGTGCTGTGCTTGTTGTGGTAAAGTTCTTAGTATGGACCAGTGCTGGCCAGTAGAAATAAAACGTGAGCCACATCTGTTATCTAAAATTGTCTAGTAGCCACCTTAAGGAAGTAAAAAGAAACAAGTGAAATTAATTTTAATAATATATTTTATTTCACCCAATATATTCAAAATATTGCTGTTTAAACATTAATCTATGAAGTTATTCAGTAGATAGTTTGACCTTTTCTGTATTAAGTCTGCAAAGTCTTGTGTGTGTACTTAAGTCACTTCTGAATTCTGACTAGCCACATTTGAAGTGCTCAATAGCCAGTTGCAACTAATGGCTACCATGTTCGCAACATAGGTGGGATGTGTTTGTGTGTGAGAGAGAGAGAGAGAGAGAGGGAGGGAGAGAGAGAGAGGTGAGAAAATGAAACAGAGAGGTGGAGGCCCCAGAGGATTAAACAGGCAGATGTGATTGGAGAAACCCAGAAGGAGCAGCCAATCTGGGCATAGCGCCTTCTGGAGTAAACAGGTTTAAGCTGAGATAGGAGGAAAAGCCCAGCATTACAAGGTTAGTTAGTGGCAAGTAGATGGTGGATGGAATGCCTAAATCAAAGAAAAAACTTGACTGTGGCCTCTCCATGTGTTACTGTGTGACATGGAATGAGGCTTCATATTTTCTCCTGTAGAAACAAAACAAAACAGTTGATTTGCAGAATCGATGGAATTATTAAATAAAAATGTATGATGTTTTTGGGAAAAAAAATAAATTGAGTGTGTACCCTGAGGTTGCTGGGCAAGATTTCATTCTCACAAAGTGTGTTATCTATGGCAAAAGGAACTTGTATTAAACAGTACAGATTCCATGCTGACTGCTTTGAGGATAACAGTTTTTATTTATTTTTCCCATTCCCCATAGTGGGTCTTCTCCTCAAGAAGTCCAAGTCTTCTGTGTGGCAGAATATACACCTGTCTTGTTTAGGTATACACAGTATGTTAGACACAAAAGGGGCTTTCCTGTATTCCAACAAATTAAAGATTATGAGGAAATAGAGAAGGGAACACAACAGGTATGAACTATTATGTTTTGAGCCCATGTCGTATGCCTGCAGAATTCTAAGCTTCACTGTAGCCCTTTGAGGTCAAGCTTTCTTACCTCTTTGTACAGATTGGGAAACAGACTCAGAGAGGTTAGGCAACATAACTCAGGTCCTAATACAGGAAGTGGTAGAACTGGTTTTGGCTCCATCGATTTAAAAAGACACTGGAAGTCTTTCCTTTGAACCATGATAGTAGTTCATCCCAAGTGAATGATAAAGACCCTGAAAAATCACCTGAAAAGTTCCCTATACTTCTAAATACATTGTAAAATAAGCAAAGCCATCTCCTCTTCATGTTTGACATTAGTATCAGAAGGAAAAAGCTGGTGACTAAAATGATCTTTTATTTTTGCACAATTCCCAAATTGATGCCTGGAGCTGCCCAAAGTTAATATTGCCAGTGAGTTTATGGTATGTTCAGCCCAGCTCTGAACATGTTGCCACACAGACTACCAAACCTAATCTTCACAACAACCCCTCAAAGTAGGTGCTGGTATATTTACCTTCCTTTTACAGATGAGGTGCAGAGAGGGTATGCAACCTGCCTAAGTCCTTCAGCTAGTGAACAGCAGAGCCTGGACATAAGCTCAGGAGTTTGGCTTGTAGCAAGACACGGGATCTTATTGCACTGTGCTGCTGGAGGATTGACTGGGCAAGTGTCCTGACAGATAGGGTTAAAAGAAGCAGTCTGTCACATGAGGTGTAAACTCTTTGACTTGTGGCTCTGTCAAGAGTCTAAACCTCCAGATCTGTTAGTAGTGAGCCTGTGAACAATTCCCTAACCCCTCTACCATCTTATTAGTCATAAATATTATAATACTCTATTAAAATCTAAGAAACTAGTCTCTAGCTGAGAAGTATTACAAAGAAATCTGCCCCAAACACCTTTTCTCCATATGCTTGTCCTTAGTTATCAGTCAAAACTAATGGTAGACTGAGAGTTGCCTTTCTGGGGAGCGACACAAGAACACTTTGGCCCCGACATCTCCTCATTGGCTACCAGGATTAGTACCACTCAGCCAGCATCAGTGGAGGGTCTGGTGGAAATAGATGCCCTTTATCATTTTGTGGGGGATTTGCTGATGGTGAAGGGAGGCAGAGACTTCAGTGAGTGTATCACTCTTCCATGAGAAGCCCATTATTCTTTCTAGAATGAAAGAAAGGGCTGGACTATCAGATAACTTCTGATGTGTCTTTACCCTCTACCATGTTGTGGTTGTGATCTTAGGCAACTCCCTTGATGTTTCTGAGCTTCATCTCCTTTACCTCCCTGGATTCATAGGCATTTAGAACTAAAAGAACTTCAGTAGTTACCAGTATAGTCTCCTTATGTCTTAGTTATCTAGTGCTGCTATACAGAAATACCACAAATGGGTGGTTTTAGCAAAATTTATTTTTTCACAGTTTGGGAAGCTAGAAGTCTGAATTCAGGGTGCTGGTTCTAGGGAAAGGCTTTATCTCTCTGTGAGCTTTGAAAGAGCCACTGAAGTTCTCCATCTCACCTCTGGCTTTGAAACCTGGAGTCCTTCTTTTTTTTACCTAGAAAGAACTAAGTTCTGTCCATCCCACCTCACTGGTTGTGATGCTACTTGACAGGGAATTTTATATCTTACATACTTTGGTTAGGTTCTTAGATTCATGTCATCCTGAAGTAGTAAGACATATTTTTATGGATTAAACCCCCAATGTTTCTTGCCTTCCTGCCTCAGAAGCAGCATTCTTTTGTGCTTATGCGCTTGTTTGTGGCAAAAGATCTAGTTGTC